GCAGTGAGGGCTGGGCAGGGTGACTCCTGCTGCCAGGGTGCAGTGGTCCCATGGTGGGTTAACTGCCTTCCTCTGCAAGGAGGTGTGCCCTGCTGGCATCTGGTTGCTGGTTGGGGGAGGTAGTTTCCATCGCTTGCCATAAGGATGTTTATTTGTCTATCCTATCATACAAAGAAGATACACAAATGGCCAATAAACATTTTTTTTTAAAAATAAGAGGCAAGCAGATTTCTGAGTTTGAAATCAGCTTGGTCTACAAAGTGAGTTTTAGGACAGCCAAGGTTACACAGAGAAATCCCATCTTGAAAAAGCTACAAAAAATCAATAAATAAAAGATTTTATCAAGGCATAGTGGTACACACCTTTAATACCAGGACTTGGGAGGAAGAGGCAGGTGGATCTCTGTGAGTTGGAGACCTGGTCTACATAGTGAGTTCCAGGACAGCCATAGCTACACAGTAAGACTCTGTCTTGAAAAAACAAAACAAAACAACAACAAAAGTTGTTCAATGCTTACAAAAAATACTAAAACTTCTTTGCTAACTTTCATCACCATAATGGTCACCATCAAGGAACCTGATAACAAATACTGGCACGGATATGGGGAAAGGGGAATCCCTATTCACTGCTCGTGGGAGTATAAACTGGTATGGCCACTAAGAAAACCAGTATGGAGGTTTCGAAGCTAAGATTCGAACTACCATATGACCTAACTATAACATCCCAAGGCATGTACCCAAAGGACTGCAGCCTACCACAGAGACACTTGCATATCCACGATCATTGCTGCTGTAACACAGTAGCTAGGAGACGCTTTCAGCCCAGGCGTCCGTCAACTGACACCTGCATCGGGACAAGGTGGTGCATCCACAGTGGAAACCTGTTCAGCTGCAAAGAAAAGTGAAAACTTCAGGAAAATGGGTGGAGCTGGAAAGTATTCTATTAAACAATGTGGTCCAAGCCTGGAAAGAAAAGGCCTCCTTCTTTTTCATACGTGGATGTTGGTTTGTAATGTACACTTGTGCGGGAAGAAAGGTAAATGTGGGCAGAACACTAGAAAGGAGATTAAGAGAGAGTAAAAAGAGGTTCTGAGGAAGGGGGCATGGGACATGAAAGCAGAAAGCAGGGGTGGGGACTGGAGAAGAGGGGGAGGGTGGAGATAAAGGAGGGGTGAGAATTATCTGTCATGTGCTTTATTAGGCAATGCCACCGTGATGCATAGTTGTTTGCATTCTGAATGAAAGAACTAATTAAATTTTAGACGTGTTCTTTAAAAGAATATCAAATCATGGCTAATCCCAGCACTTTAGAGAAAGAGGCAGGTATGGATCTCTGAATTCAAGGCCATTTTGGTCTACACAGTGAGTCTAGGACAGTCAGGGACACATAGAGAGCCTTGCTTTAAAAAATTACACACACACACACACACACACACACACACACACACACCATCTCTGTCTGCTAAAACATTGATGATTGATCAGGACATGTCCACAGAACTAAGAGGATATGGAGCTGAGCCCACTGTAGTCCAAATGAGAGCCAAGTTGAGCACCACATAGATAATGACAGTAATGATTATAATCACTGACAAGAACATGCAGCTGAGAGCCAAACTCCCATACAGTGAAGAGGAAAACGTCTTTTTAGATAGACTCTTTCTGTGTAGCTCAGGCTGGCCCATGTCTCAAGAGCCTCTTGCCTCTGCCTCCTGAATGCTACTGTGCCAGGCTAGGAAAATACCTTTCTCACCTGGCATGATGGTGCGAGCCTTTTAATCCCAGTGCTGGGGAGGCAGAGGCAGATGGATCTCTGAGTTGTAGGTCATTCTGGTCTACACAGAGTTCCAAGACAGGCAGGGCTGATAGTGAGACCCTAGATGAAAAAAAAAGTTTACCTTTCTTTCTCAAGATTTATTTTTTTTGTGTGTGTTTATGAGTGCTTTCATTGCATGTATATCTGTTCTTGATGCTCACAGAAGCCAGAAGAGGGTGACAGACCCTCTGGAACTGGAGTCACAGATGCCTGTGAACCACTATGTAGATCCTGGGAATCAAACTCTGGTCCTCTGGAAGAGTAGCCAGTGCCCTTGCCCAATCATACCAAAACAACAACAACAACAACAACAACAACAAAATCTGGCCTCATTTAGATCCATCCAGTTCCCATCCCATAGCCTGGGTTCTCTGTTGCTGTTCTTGTGTGTTTGGAGAATACTGGTTCACTGTGGTTCCCATGGAGAACTCTGGTTCCAAACACACAGCTGTGTTTCTCCACATAGTTAGAATCTATCCTCTGATACTCACGAAACTGCTGTCCGCACCAATGTCATGGCCCTTAACTGTCTCACCAAAGAGGTTTAGTTATATTCTTGCAGACCATAGTCTCCATGTAGCTCAGGTGGTACCAAATATTTAAAGCAGAACAGGGGCCTTTTAAGTGAGGTTTTGATAGGTGAATAGGAGTTTCCTGGAGCAGAAGGAAGACAAGGGGTGGCAAGAAGGAAAAGGTGGTGTGCCCTCCACAGTGACTTGAGCCTGTTGTTTGTTCACAGTGGAGGGAATAAGAGGACACACGTGGGCAGTGGTGGTACACACCTTTAATCCTAGCGCTTGGGAAACAGAGGCCAGTCTGGTCTACAGAGTGCCAGGACATTTCCAAAGCTACACAGAGAAACTCTGTCTCCAAAAACCAACCAACCAAGCAAACAAACAAATTAAAAAACAAAACAAAAAACAGAGGGTACACGTGGGAGCTGTGTAGAGTGGGTGAGAGGAGATGGTTGGGCGGGTCTTGAACAGGGGCTGGAACTTGGGTTTGACATGGCAGGTGCTTAGGAATCTCTAGAAGTATCAGTCATGTTCTGGTTAGATTTTTTTTTTTTTTTTGTCAGCTTGACATAAGTCAAGGTCATCTGGGAAGAGGCAACTGAAGTTGAGAAATTGGCCTATAGACAAGTCTGTGGAGCATTTTCTTGATTAATGATTAATGTGGGAGAGTCTAGTTCACTGTGGGCAGTGTTTCCCCTGGGCAGGTGATTCTGGGTGCCCATTGTGTAAGAAAGTGGGCTGAGCAGACCATGGGAAGCAAGCCAGTAAGTAGTATTCCTCCATGGTCTCTGCTTCAGTTCCTGCATTGGCTTCCATGATGGACTATATGACCTGTAAGCCAAACAATCCCTTTCCTCCCAAGTTGCTCTTGGTCATGGTATTTATCACAGCCATAGAAACCCTATATAAGACAAAAGTAAGAAATGTGGAGACTGGGTGACAGAGCCCAGGCACGAGGCAGTTCTGCACCACCCATAGTGGAGACACTGGGACTCCCCCACAGCCAAAGTAGAACTGTGAGCACACCCTCCCTGAGCTGTGACATGGGTGACAGGTCTCTGCTTCCTGTTTCTCCCCCCTCAAGGGCAGTTTCCGGCTCCAGCTTCAAAAGAACAAATACTCAAAACAAAGGAAGTGGTCCTCAACCACAGGAAGCAGGAAGTGTCTGCTAGGTCCTCAGCTGAAGCCCAGGGACAGTGGGATGGAGTCCGTGGCCCTGTACAGCTTCCAGGCCACAGAGAGTGATGAGCTGGCCTTCAACAAGGGGGACACACTCAAGGTACAGAGGGCTGGAGCCGGGCTGAGTGGGCTAACAGGGGTGGTGGGGTTGGAATCAGGGACCAGGAGAGCCCTGGTAATCTGGGCTGTGAGTGACAGACTCAGTATATACACATCTGTCTTACTTCAGTTTCCCCATCTAGGAAACGGGAATAGTACTGGTGATCCTTTCTTTGGGGTCATGTGAGTTTGAGGCAGCTACTGCCACAGTGTCTGGCAGGACTTCGTTCAATTCCCGTTTTCTAGGTATGGTGTGTGTGTGTGTGTGTGTGTGTGTGTGTGAGAGAGAGAGAGAGGAGAGAGGGGAAGAGAGAGAGAGAGAGAGAGAGAGAGAGAAAGGTGGTCTAGAATAAGCAGACATCCTAACCTAATGGGGCTAAGATAGCTGGGATTTAAGTGTCCAGCAGTAATGTAGGGAAAGGGAAAACAGAATAATATACTTCATTTGCTCTCACCTGGGCCCCTCTGGATCGAAATGGTGCCCTTCCAAGTCATTAGATAGATGAGTGTGTGAAACTTCTAGTGGGAATGCCCTTCCGTAGGCTTTTGCATATGATGGGAGAGCCCAGGGGCCACAGTCAAAATTTGAGGAGTGGTCATGCTAGAACAGGAGCACTAGA